CCTATACCCGTGATGGCGAACCTATGGCACGCATGCCGCGGGTGGCACGTGGAGCCATATCGGTGGGCACATGAACGTTGCCCTAGGTCAGCTCCGGCGTGCATGTGTGCACCGGCTACCTGATTTTCAGGCCTTCCGGGCCCACCAGAAGTCAGCAAATGGGCTTTTCCGGCCTCCAGAGGGCCTCCGTTTTCGCCCTCTCCAGGCTCCAAGAAAGCCTCTGGAGCCTGGGGAGGGCAAAAAGCGGGCCTACCGGGCCTACCGTGCCATAAGCGTGGGGGAGCGTGGGGGGGTTGCATGTACATGCATGGGGGGGCATTAAGTTATGGGTGTGGGCACACGCGTGTGCGACCCCCACCCCACGCTCCCGGCCCGTGACGGCAAAAAGGTTAGCCATCGCTGCCCTATACCATTTTAGACAAGTTGATGAAGCATCCACAACTTCAGAAGGCAAGTTTTTCCACTGGTTAATTGTCCTGTTAGGAAGTTTCTCCTTAATTCTAGGTTGCTTCTTTCCTTGATTAGTTTCCACCCATTGTTTTTTGTCCTACCCTCAAGGTGCTTTGGAGAAAAGCTTGACTCCCTCTTCTTTGGGGCAGCCCCTGAGATACTGGAAGACTGCTATCATGTCTCCCCTGGTCCTTCTTTTCATCAGACTAGACATAACCAGTTCCTGTAACCGTTCTTCATATGTTTTAGTCCCCAGGCCTTTAATCATCTTAATTGCTCTTCTTTGCACTTTTTCCAAGTTCTCAACATCTTTTTTTGTAGAGAAAAAAATGGGAGCAAACATAAAGAAGCAATCCCACTGAAATGGGCATAATCAGATAGTCCTCGACTTACAAGCCATTTGTCTAGCAACCATTCAAAGTTACAACAGCCCTGAAAAAACTAACAAGCAGTTCAAAACTTAACAACTATTGCAGCATCCCCACAGTAACGTGGGCAAAGCCGAGGTGGCGCAGTGGTTAGAGTGCAGTACTGCAGCTACTTCAGCTGACTGCTAGTTCGGCAGATCAGCGGATCAAATCTCACCGGCTCAAGGTTGACTCAGCCTTCCATCCTTCCGAGGTGGGTAAAATGAGGACCCAGATTGTTAGGGGGCAATATGCTATTTAGTATACTGTCTTTGATGTAAGCCGCCCAGAGTCCTCGGAGAGTGGGCGGCATAGAAATATGACTAATAAAAATAAAATAAAAAATAAAAAAAACCTCAGGCATTGGTAACTGGCATCTATTTATGCAGATTTAACAGAGTTGGAAGGGACCTTGTAGGTCATCTAGTCCTACCCCCAACTGTGGGGGAAGCCAGATTTGTTTAAGAAAACCGTGCTTCATTTAACAACTGTGTGATTTCCTTAACTGTGGGGGGGGGGAGGTCATAAAATAGGGTGTGATTCACTTAACAAACTGCTTCTTAGCAATGGAAATTCTGGTTCCCTGGACGCCGTTGGTCGAGGACTACCTGTAATCATAATCAGGGTACCAAGATTCCAAATGCTGGATACGAAGGCGAGACAGCCCAGCAATCCATATTAGAATCTCAGACTTAGAAAACCCTTCAGTTTGGCCCAAACAGATACAGGAAGTCCGTGATTTATGACCACAACCGAGCCCAACGTTTTTGGTTTTTAAGTGAAGCATTTAAGCAAATTTTGCCCCGTTTTACAACCTTTCGTGCCACAGTTGTTAAGTGAATCACTCACTGCCCCTTGCAAAGTTTGTAACCTGGTTGTTAAGTGAATCTGGTCTCCCCACTGACTTCACTTGTCGGGAGGTCACCAAAAGTGATCATGTGACACTGCAACCGTCATAAATAGGAGTCAGTTTCCTAGCATCTCAATTCTGATCATGTAATCATGGGGATGCTGTAACAGTTGTGTGAAAAACAGTCATTAGCAGAGGTGGTATTCAGCCGGTTCGGGAGAATCGTGCTGTCCTATTTAGGCACATTTTTGAGGCTGGGCGCAAGCACGAAAGGTGTGCACACACTCACATTTTTGGTGCTGGCCAAACCGGTAAGTCAATTATGTGAATTCCACTTCTGGTCATAAGTCACTTTTTTTCAGTGACATTGTAACTTCGAACAGTCGCTCAATGAACTGTTACAAGTCAAGGACTACCAGCAGCACTGGGCCTTCCTTCCCTTGGACACGTTCCAAAGAAGTCTAGACAGCCATCCTTTTCGCCTGGATTCCTTCAAGGAACAGGAGGTTGAACTCAATGGCCTCTTCCAGTTCTAGACTTCTATGAAAGAAGAGGAACAGAAACTACACAGCAGGGCCTTAAAAAGTTGCTCTTAGGAATCGCTCGCCCTACCCGGAGAGCCGAGGTTGCTTGTTTGCAAACAAAACTCTCCATCAGATCCACGGCTTAAGTGCTTCACGGATGTTAGTCACCTGACTGAGTCATCCGCTCCCAGGGCAGGGCACCTGAGGACAACAACAACTTTTTAAGATTCAGTTCACTTCCGTCACCTTGTTTATTAGTTGGGGACCGAGCGTTGCATCCTCTGTTCCTTCCAAGATCACATCTGAATTATTGCCCTTAAAAAAAACAACAACACACAATCTCTTCCTTCCTTCTCTACCACTGTTAACATGGGGTGGCCACTTTCGTAAGGTTGAAAGGACAAGCAAGGAATGGCAACATTCTGCCTCCTCATCGGGCTGCCATCCCTGGCTTCTCTTCAAACTTTACGAAAGCGACTGTCCCTTATTATAGAGACACCTGCGCAGAGGTGAGATTCACTTACCTTCCCTACCGGTTTGCAAATGTGAGTGCGTGCGTGCGCTCGCTTCCACGTACGCTCGGCCTTTTGCTCATGCTCTTTGCTCGCGCGCCTTCCGCGCATGTGCATGGCCTCCTAAACGCGGCTAAATAGGACGTCATTGGGTGGGTGGGTGGGCGGAGTTTACTGCAGTCAGCACTACCGATTCGTCCGAACCGGCTGAATCCCACCACTGCACCTGCGGCCTCAATACTGTTTGCAGACTCCTCTGAAAACAATGGAGCTATGTCTCATATGGAAACACAGAAAACTGAAAGGCCAATTTTAAAAGGCTAAGCGAGCGCAAAGGGCTACGGAACTTGAAAAAAACATAAAGGGGGGAAGAAACATCCCCCCCCCTATCCACTTGGATTCATTATCACTTTGCTTCAGGATTTTGGAGGGAGGAACCTGGTCCTTGTACCCAAACTTACTCTCTACCGAGATCCACTTATACCTTTGCTGGGTCTAAGGCAGAGGTGACAAACTCAAGGGCCGGGGGACTGATCTGGCCCGTGGGGTGCTTAGATCTGGCCCACGGGGCAGCCCTGGAAACAGTGAAGGACCGGCCCGCGATGCCTCTGCCAGTGAAAATGGAGCTCAGGTGGGCCACCCGTGGCCCTCCCTGAGTTCCGTTTTCACTAGCAGAGGGTTGCAGGAGGTTGTCACAGCTGAAAACGGAACTCGCGGGGGCCACGGGGAGCCCTCCCGAGCTCTGTTTTCACTGGCAGAGGGTTGCAGGAGGCCCTCGCAGCTGAAAACGGAACTCGGGAGCCCGTTTTCGCTGCAGAGCACTCGGGCCACCACAGGAACCCCCCCCCCCCCCGACACGAGTGATGTCAAGCTGGCCATGCCCACCATGGCCATGCCCCCCCCCCCCGAGGTCACATGCAATCCTGATTTAGCCCTCAATGAAATCAAGTTTGACACACCCTGGTCTAAGGGAATCTCTCTTGTGAAATTTACCCTGTTCCTCTCTCGTGTACCTTTCTCCCAATCCATCCGAAGCATCCTTTACAGGTGTGTGAGATGAGCTCTTACGCCTCTCCAAACACACATGCTATTTTTCTGGTAGCAAAAGAAGGGGGAAAAAATTGGTTCTGGTTGTCCTTGCCCCTCCCGGGCCCCCCCCCCCCGCCCCATTGGGTTTTCCCCACCTTCGAAGTTCAGAGATGTCTCTCTTTCCCAGCCCTCGAGGAAACTATTATGGGATGGGAAGAGTTCGCTTCTTTCGCCTTCAACTTCTCCTGTCTTTTTTTTTTTTTTCCTTCCAGCTTCTTAAAAGTAGGATATTTATCAGTACTGAACTCCGACAATAACTTCATCCAAGGGCAACTGAGGCAAAACCAACTCATCCCACGGAGTGGGTGAATTTCACAGATGCAACTCCACCCCTCTCTCCTTCCCACTTCCTTCAGACTTTTAGGTTTTGATCAGGGAAAAACAAAAGGGGGGGGGAGGGGGAGAATAAAACCTAACTTGGCCTGAATGTTTAAAAAGTGACCTTGGCACCAGCCCTTGCTTTCTTCTCTCCTCCGCTCTTCCTTCCAAGAAGACTCTCTTAAACAGCTCAATCCAAAGCAGCCCCCACCCCATATAAACATTTTTCCCTATCTTGTGATTTATTTATTTATTTATTTATTTATTTATTTATTTATTTATTTATTTCAATTTGTATACTTTCTCCTAGTGGACTCAGGGCGGTGAACAGCCAGAACTAAAACACATGCCAATACAAAATTTAAAATTGTTAAAAGAATTACATACTTTGGCCCAAATTTAAAACAATTCGAATTAAAACCCAATGACAATTTAAAACTAAAAAACTAAAAAAGACTAAAAAACAACAGGCCCCAAAAAACAACAACCTACATCATCTCCTTATCTTTTTTTTTTTCTCCCCTTGCCTGGAACCTGCCAAATGGATCTCTCTCCTTGCACAAGTTCGTAAAAGGTCGACAACTCGCAAAACTTCCTCAAGTCCCTTAACTATCTCCCTAGTTGTTATTTACTACCCCTTAGTCTTACACCCACCGGGGCCTGGCTTCACACACAACCCCCCAAGTAACCAAATCCCAACCCGTTGCATTCTTGCTCCCTTTCCGAATGCACAAAACCCAAATACACACCAAGGGTCTCTTTATCAGCTACAAATAGTTTACTGCACTGTTAAGAAATATTTCCACCACCCTCCTCCTCCCACCTCCCAGCCCAAAACGGTTCCACTCACTCTTGCTTGCGCCGAAAACACCATCTCTAGCCAAGTGGCTCTGCACGATTTTAGGCGGATCCTAATAAGGTGCTACCCACCTCCAGATTTAATTGCATTTTTATGGGGTACAAGAGGGGAAGAAGAGCCTGTGTGTGTGTGTGTGTGTGTGTGTGTGTATGCAGACCCCCACCCCAAACCTTCCTTACTCTCCGCAAATGAGCGGGGTACAAGAAGGGGAAAGAGAGTTGGATCAATGTTTGGGCATGCACGTGTAGGACAAACCGCGAATCTAGGCTTGTCTAGGCTCGTGCATGCAAGGGGGAGGGTATAGGGGCGTGCGGGAGGGGGGGCATGTTGGAAAGAGGGGGGGGCTGTGAAAAGGAGAAAGTGAAAGGAAATGAGAAAAAAAACAAAAAACCCGGAGGTTCCCAAGGCCCTTCTTGGAACGAACCGGTAGGGGCGGGGGGGGGGGGGGGGAGGAGGAAAGGAAGGCAAAGACAGCAAACTAGCAAGGGAGACCTCGCTCCGCGCAGGCGCACTTTCGCTCACCTGACGATGCCGCCGCGGAGGGAGGGAGGGAAGGAGGTAGGAAGGGCTTGGTGGTCTCGCGCCGCGCCGCCCGCTCTTCTCCGCGTCTCCGCTCCAACTGCCCCCCCCCCGCCTCCCGCCGCGAAGCTCTTCCTATTTCCCTTCCTGCCTCCTCAAGCCCCGCCCCTCCCGAAAGAAGCGACGCGGGCGGGCGCTGATTGGCGGGAATCGAGCGGGCGGGCGAAAGCGGACACGTGCCAGCCCGGGAGAAGGCGGCGCTGTCGCCTCCTGGTCTCCCTTCGCTTTTTCTTTTTTTCTTTTTCTTTTTCTTTTTCTTTCTTTTTCTTTCTTTCTTTCTTTCTTTCTTTCTTTTCCTTTCCCTTCTTTCTTTCTTTTTTCTTTCTTTCTTTCTTTCTTTTCCCTTCCCTTCCTCTTTCTTTCTTTCACTTCCCTTCCTTCCTTTCTTTCTTTCCTTCCCTTCCCTTCCCTTCCCTTCCCTTCCTTCCTTCCTTCCTTCCTTTCTTTCTTTCTTTCTTTCCCTTCCCTTCCCTTCCCTTCCCTTCTTTCTTTCACTTCCCTTCCTTCCTTCCTTCCTTTCTTTCCTTTCCCTTCCTTTCTTTTCCCTTCCCATCTCTTCCTTCCTTCCTTTCTTCCTTCCTTCCTTTCTTTTCCCTTCCCTTCTTTCTTTTCCCTTGCCTTCTTTCTTTCTTTCCCTTCCCTTCCCTTCCCATCCCTTCCCATCCCTTCCCTTCTTTCTTTCTTTCTTTCACTTCCCTTCCCTTCCTTCCTTCCTTCCTTTCCCTTCCGTTCCCTTCCCTTCCTTCCTTCCTTTCCCTTCCCTTCCCTTTCCTTCCTCCCTTCCTTTCCCTTCCCTTCTTTCCTTCCTTTCCCTTCCTTTCCCTTCCCTTCTTTCCTTCCTTCCTTCCTTCCTTTCTTTTCCCTTCCCATCTCTTCCTTCCTTCCTTCCTTCCTTCCTTTCTTTCTTTTCCCTTGCCTTCTTTCTTTCTTTCCCTTCCCTTCCCTTCCCATCCCTTCCCTTCTTTCTTTCTTTCTTTCACTTCCCTTCCTTCCTTCCTTTCCCTTCCGTTCCCTTTCCTTCCTTCCTTCCTTTCCCTTCCTTTCCCTTCCCTTCTTTCCTTCCTTCCTTCCTTCCTTCCTTTCTTTTCCCTTCCCATCTCTTCCTTCCTTCCTTCCTTCCTTCCTTCCTTCCTTCCTTTCTTTCTTCCTTCCTTCCTTCCTTTTGCAAAACAGGGGTTGTGGGAATGCAAGGGGGAAGGAGAGTGGGAAGGATCAGATGCCCGTGCAAACTTGTGAAAGGAAAAGGATGCTGCAGGGACCTTTGCAAGGGTGGGGAGGGCTGTCGTACACCCACCCTGCGAGGTAGCCCAGGGGTGTTGAGGTCCCGCGCTTCGGTTGAGTTGGGCTGTGACCGTCAGCATCCCCGCTGGTGTAAACGATGGGAGTTGTAGTCCTAGTACCCAATTTGGGCATTGGCTGAGCATTGCAGACTTGGGGGAGAAGGAAGCTGGGATCAGACCGAATAAGCCGCTTCTGGCTGGGAACCGAAATCAAAGAGAAGAGAGGGTGACGGAATGAACGTGTGAATCCTTGCACCTTCTTGTAAACCCCAGAAAGTGTTTCCGAGGCGGAGGCTTTCATGAAGCAGAGTCTGCTTCGTGCTTTTGATCTGAGGCAATTCCGAGTGGTATCTCACACCAAACCAACCATGATTTATCGAGTCAGTGACAAAGGATAGGATTTGTCCCCGCAATGCACAAAGCTATTCATCACGGTTTACGAATCACACATGGCTTGGTTCACACAACACAGCCAGCCCGAACGAAAAGGTTAAATGCATTTGCAGCCAAAGTTGGCCAAAGTTACGCTTTTGCTTGCTAAGTTGTTGTTTTTTAGGATGCCTCGTTTATCGACGGACTAAACATTCCAAACTCAGGTCGGCAGCTGTACAGTTAAGGCAACCGAACACTTCAGAATATTGGTGTTTTTTTGCCGTTTCTATAACCTCGGTGATCGAGCATTTAAGCTGCCTTCTCGGGTGATGGCACTTGCCGGAGAATTGCAAATCCTCGAGATGCTTGTCTTTAAGCATTCGGCTTTGATTCGGTTAATGATGTCTTTTAACTTGCTGGCGAACACGTCCTTGAATTTGATGAGGCCTTCTGAATAGAGATGTACGGGATTAGAGTGTAAATCCCTTGAAAATTACTATTTATGATTGAGGTTTAATACTTGGCCAGCCTGTTGTAAACAAGCCACTCTTTTTTTCACAGAGGTTTTATGTGCCTCAACCACTGGATCCCTTGAGGGAGGGATCTGAGATCTCTCGGTTTTTAGACACAGTTTTGTGTGCAACAACATTTCTCCCTACAAGTGCAGGTAAGTCCTCGACTTACAACAGTTCATTTAGTGCCCAAAGTTACAACGGCACTGAAAAAAGTGACATATGACCATTTTTCACACTTATGACCATTTGCAGAATGCCCATGCTCACGTGATTTATATTCAGATGCTGAACAACTGACTGATATTTATGACGGTTGTAGCGTCCCAGAGTCATGTGATTCCCCTTTTGCGACCTCCTGACAAGCAAACTCAGTGGGGAAACCAGATTCACTTAACAAACGTGGCAAGAAAAGTCGTACGATGGGGCAAAACCCGCTTAACAAATTTCTCACTCAGCAACATAAATTTTGGGCTCAATTGTGGCCATAAATCGAGGATTACCTGCTTTCCTCGTTTAGTAGCCACAATGGAAACCAGCCATTTGGTCGTTAAACAAAGAGAAACCGCAATTTATGGCCTTATTTCAGCTTTCCTTTGCTTTAGAGACCTGCAAAGGTTGTCAGTGCAAAAATTGATCACAAAGTTACCGTATTTTTCAGAATATAAGATGCTCCGGACTCTAAGATGCACCTGTCTTTTTTGGTGAGGAAAACAAGAAAAAGAAATCTGCCTCTGCCTCCCAGCAATTTTGCCTCGTTGCAGCAAACAGCGAATGGCCTGCTTTATTTTCATTTTCGTTTTCAGCATAGCTTGATTAGCACAAGAAAAAAAAAGTCTGCTCCCAGCAATTTACCTCCTTGCAGCAAGCAGCAGAGGCCTGCGCAGCAATAGGCAACAGCAATCCCTGCAGCCTGAAACAGCTGGGAGGCCGATCCAACGGACAATCAACTTGTGCTAATTAGGCTGTGCTGAAGCTGAAATGCGCTGTTTCTTCTTGCTTGCTGCAAGGAGGTAAATTGCTGGGAGGCAGAGGCCAAAGGGGAAGGGGGCAGTGGGTTGGTGGGGCTACATTCGGTGTATAAGACGCACCCAAATTTTCACCCCCTTTTAGGGGGGAAAAAGGTGTGTCTTATACTCCGAAAAATACGGTACTTTTTTCATTACCTTGGTAAGTGTGAAGAATCGCTAAACAAGGACTACCTGTAGAAAAAAATCAGTAGGATTGCTTAAGTTTTCAATGGTTGAGATTTTGAAGAGAAATTCTCAAGCAAAGCAGACCAAGCTGACTGGCTTTATGTAATCATTTTCCCTATGTTAATTTGAGGCTCAGGTCTTTCATCACCGCTGACTTTTGTAGAAGTCATCAAACATAAACGGTGCAGAAGAGACAGGATTCTTACAGCATTGCTTTCAAAAAAAATTACCCTATATATGCAATTTTATCAGCCTCATCTCTCTCTGCGTACATTAGTAATAGTTGTTGCATAGGATTTTCACGTGGCTTCAGAAGGCCAAGTCACCTGCCTGCATTAGCAAGAAGAAAACAGAGGCTGGCCTTTTTAAAAGGGGGTGTACTGTGCATTGCGTTTATTTATTATTTATTAAATTTATACGCCGCCCATCACCTAAGTTAGTAAATTGGGGATGCGGTGGCTCAGTGGCTAAGATGCTGAGCTTGTCGATCGAAAGGTCGGCAGTTCAGTGGTTCGAATCCCTAGTGCCGCGTAACGGGGTGAGCTCCCGTTCCTTGTCCCAGCTTCTGCCAACCTAGCAGTTCGAAAGCACGTAAAAAATGCAAGTAGAAAAATAGGGACCACCTTTGGTGGGAAGGTAACAGTGTTCCGTGCGCCTTTGGCGTTTAGCCACATGACCACGGAAACGTCTTCGGACAGCGCTGGCTCTTCAGCTTTGAAACGGAGATGAGCACCAATCCCTAGAGTCAGGAATGACTAGCACATATGTGCGAGGGGAACCTTTACCTTTAAGATACGGTAGTAAATATCTAGATCACCCGATCACAAAGTTTTCTTTGAATTACCGTGATTTGTTTAAACCTGAAACTATAAATTAACATCGGCAAATGCTAATACTTTTTTTGCTACTTGCCATACATCACCAGAGGAAAGCCACAACTGTGCCATTTTCTCAAATAATAGGATATTCATATCAGGATCCACATATTCGGTTACTTAAAAGTTTAAGTCACCTAAGTTAGTAAACATCTAGATCACCTGGTCACCAGGGATGAAATGCTCCCAGTTCGGACCGGATCGCCCGATCCGGTAGCAATGGCGGCGGGTGGTTCCGAGAACCGGTAGCAAAAATCCCTGCCCTCCCCCATGCCCAGCTGAGCCACACAATCATCAAAGGCTTTTTTTTTTTTACTTTTAAAAGCATTTTTTCTACAACTTCTTCCGATGAAAAAAATGCATTTAAAAGTAAAAAAAAAAAAGCCTCTGTTGATCGTGCGGCTCAACTGGGATCATCAGAGGCTTTTCAAAGCATTTTTTTTCTGCAACCTCTTGGCCGAAGAGGTGGTTAAAAAAAATGCTTTGAAAAGTCTCTGACGATCTCAGCTGAGTTGCCTGATAGTTAGAGAGGCTTTTCAAAGCATTTTTTTAAAAGCCACTCTGACGATCCCAGCTGAGTTGCCTGATCA